CTCACCTAAAAATTCGTGCCTAAAGCAAATATTGCACCTTATTTGGAACAAAGAGAATATTTGTTAAATATTTTTTTAAATTTGATAAAATTATTAAAAATGAAAAAAAAGGCAATCTTTTATGAGATAAAAAAAAAAAAAAAATAATAAAATGAATCATTTACGACGAAACTGAGGAGTTAAGTATATATTTATATATGAAACAAATGAATTACCCTAAAGGGAAATAAAAATTGGTTTGTATTGTGATGGCGCTGTCAGTGTCATCAATCACACATGAATATGATGCCATGAATATTTATATAATTATCAAAAAAGGGAAGTAAAAAGAAAGGGATTTTGGAGGAGGTTGTCGTGGATCCATCACATCCAATCGAAACGTCAACTTATACCTTCACACACATTATTATTATTATTATTACTATTATTATTATTTTTTAAATTATTTATGTTGGGGTGCAAATTCAAGTCTCACATTAAAAATGATAAAAAAAATTACACACCTTATAAGTCTCAGCTAAACTCCACTAGGATGAGGCCTTTTGGAGGATATCCAAAAACAAATCCGTGCGGGCTCAATCCAAAGCGGACAATATCATACTAGCGTTGAGTTGACCCAGTCCCAACTCTGGTATCAGAGTCCGGTTAGATGATGAAGTGAACTAGGTGGCATTGGGCATTGGTTGTGGTGGTGGGCTCGCCCTCGTGACCTGCGGATGTGCCTTGTGTCGAAAGTCTCCTGGCGGTGTCGGGTTGGTCCCGATCGAGGTGGTCAGGTGCGGAAGGTGGACCTTTTGGAGGATATTCAAAAACAAATCCGTGCGGGCTCAGCCCAAAGCGGACAATATCATACTAGTGTTGAGTTGACCCAATCCAAACAATTTATTTTTTATTTTAGTCCGTCTTATAATAAAGTATCAATTTTTTTTAGTAACTGTATTATCTACCTAACACTACAAATACTCTTACAATTTACAATATACTCCCTCCGTCCCATCAGAATTGAACTATTTTATTAGGAACACGGTATTTGATGTTTAATTAGTTATAATATTATTATATTAATTTTTTGTATAATTAATAATATTTATATTTTTAAAGTAAATTTAACATATATGATTAAAAAAATTAAAATATATGTTTAAATATTTAAAAATTATATAGTAATTAAAAAATATATGCAATATAGAGAATACAAATTTTTATAATACAACTATATAAAAAAAATATTTTTGTTTATTTATAATTAACATACATCAATTTTATAGTTTTAAATATAGATAAAAATATTTATTTTTTTAGGAGAGATGTAGAAATAAAAAGGGTTTTGAGTGGGTCCTATGTCATTTATAATATTGTATGTTATATAGTTAATTAAGTTGATTTATATTTGTTAAATATGTTTTGATTTAATAATTTTTTATCAAAAATAGAAATGTATCAATTGTGATGGGACAAACAAAAATAGAAATAGTGTCAATTGTGGTAGGACGGATGGAGTATTACACAAATGTCATTACCTTTATATCACACAATACTAATAAGATTATTTTAGTATTTTTCTACTTTATTCATACTAAATCTCAATATAATACTAATATTTCTAAAACTCTGTGCAAAAAACAAACGACTACCTAGTTATGAGACGGAGGAAGTATTATTTTTTTATAGTAGATTAAAAAAAATAAAATATTATTATTTCTTAATTTATTACAAAATCTCAAAAAACTCATTTGAAGGAACGAAAAGAGTAATAATTAATATTCAAATATTAGCACATAAAAAAATAAATATAAAATAATAAAATCATTTAATTAATTAATAGAAATATATAAAATAATTTTAATATTTTTGGTTGCAAATACAAAATAATTATAATAAATATCTTATAAATATTATGAATATTTAGATAACATTATCTTTTATGTAATTTTCAATAAGAAATTCTATCTATATTTTTTAATAAAAATATATATTTTTTCATAAAATATTTTAAGATAATAAAAACTAATTTCTCCCAACAATATCATAACTCCAAAATATATTTATAATTTTCATGAAGTTATTACATTAAAAGAAAACAAGACCTTGATATATTATTAAATATAATACATTATATAGATGTAATATTGTAATATGTTACATATGAATATAATATAATTTCTATTAAGTAATTTGTTATTTTTTACCTTATTTTGTAATATTTTGAAATTTTTATTTGAGAAATATATCATGGTGTGTTTGTTTGGGGGATTTTACCTCAAATTCATTATTCATCCAATTTTTTTTCTTAATAAATATCAAGTCAAAAACTTATTTTTTATTTTTTATATTATACTAAAAATTAATTTAAACATCACCTCAATACCTATTTATATCACATCATACAACTATTTTAATTTAAATTTTTTACAATTCAAATCTCAACTCAAAATTCAAACTCCCAAACAAACACACACTCAAAAATAACTCAAAATTCAAACTTCCAAACAAACACACAAAAATAATACTTTTGAAATACAACAAGTTAAATAAATATATATCAAGAATATTATCAAAAATATTTTATTTCAAATACACATGTAAGTAATCTCATTTCTCTTAGTTTAGTTGACCTAGGGTGTGTTTGGTAAAAAAAATAGAAAGAATATTGTCGTAAAAATTAGAAATATTTTGATATTTCTATACAGACAAAATAAATAAATAGTGAAAAAAGGTAGATTGAGGGGGCATATTCAATATAGATTTTCTAGAACTTGTTGACTTTCAAAACCTGGGTGTATTCAATCAAGATTTTTAATTTTTTTTTAAAATCTAACGGTATTCAATCCAATTTTTTAAAAGTCTTTTAAAATTCAAAAGTATTCAATCCATACTTTTAAAAGTCTCTTAAAATCTCGATTTTTAAAGTGTATGGATTTTAATGAAAAATTGTGAAAATTTTGTATAGGATATAATCTCTCATCATCAACAGAGATTTTGATGGATTGTTAAAATTATTATTATTATTATTTATTGTTGTTTTTGGTGTTATATATGTGATAAATAATATAATAATATTTATTAATATTATTATAATTTTTAATAAAAATAATAATTTAAAGCTAAAATATATTAGTAAATTATTATAATTTTTTTTAAATATATATTTTTATATTATAAATATAATTTTTAAAAATATTATTATCATAATAAATATGGATTAATATCGTATTTTCTTTTCAATTGTCGAATATAAAATATTATCATTCTGGTGTAATTCTCCTTTTTTTAATTATCGAATACACTATATTATCATTCCGATGACGATGAAACATATAGTTAAATATATATATATATTGTTGAACCGTTAATTTATATTTATTGTTTATTCTAATATTTTTTCAAATTCATAAATTATATTTTTTTATATTATTTATAGACGTATTTATTTTTTATGTAAAAAAGTTATATAAATTATAATAATAACAATAACTAATAAAGAAATATAAAACTAATTTGATATATTGAATGATAATATAATACTAAAATTATAAAATTAAGAATAATATAATAATCTACAATATAGTAGTGTTACAGATGTTACTACTTCTATATTATTAATAATTATATATTATTTATTAATATTAAATTTTATTTTATAAAAATATAGTAATATATAATAATTTTAATTATAAATATATTATATTTAGAAAAAAATTATTTTACAATCCTACAAAATTCATATAAATTCATAAAGAATTCAATTAAATTCGTAAAAATCTATCTAAATCAATTACTAATTAAAATCCATCAAACTCACCGTAGAATATGAATTTTCTAAATACACATTAATCCATAAACTTTTTAAAATTAAAAAAAAAATCCATTAAAATCCCAAGAATACACCATTGAGTTACGAAGGTAAAAATATTTTAATGTGATATTTTATGAGAAAAATATATTTTTCCGATTCAACTCTTTATGCCACATAGATTATTAAATAAAAATATTTTAATATGATTCCATAAGGAATGACTTTGTGGGGGTGGGGATGGACTCAATTCCAGCTAGTTTGCAAAAAATATTTTAATGTGAAAATAGATAAATAAAAAATAAAATATAGAAGAATTTTATTTATTTAAGTAAAAATAATTAAATTATACTAAATATATATATATTTTTTACTATAAACAATTATAAATAATAAAATTTACCAAAAAAAAAAAAAGATTTATAATAATTGTACTATTTAAAATTTAAAATAAATAGGAGCGTTTGACTATAATTTAAATTATTATCTAATATTTGGGTGTGTTTTTTTGGGATTAAATTAGATTTTCACAGTTCATTCTATTTCATCCCAAAAAATATCAAATCAAATACCTATTTTTATTTTTTATATTATACTAAAAATCAATTTTACATTAAAAATATCACATAAACACCTATTTTTATCACATCATACAACTATTCAAATTCAAAACTTTTACTATTCAAATCCCAACTAAAAATCCAAATCCCCAAACAAACACACCGTTAATGGTTTCATGGTTTTTAAATGAAATAATTTTATATGTGTGTTATTTTATTAAATTAAAACATACTTAATAAATATAAATTAATTTAATTAAGTACATAACGTATAACATTAATATATCGACACTTTATTTTTATCATCTCTTCAAAAAAATAAATATTTTGTCAAATATATTTTATATTAATTATAAATAAACAAACTCATTTTTTTTATTTACTTGTATTATAAATTTTTTTATTTTCTACAAAATAATATTCATATTGTATATATTTGTTTATTGCAATATATATATAAATATTTAAATATAAATTCTAAAAATTTTATGTTATATATATTAAATTTATTTTAAAATTATCAACATTCATATGTGTATATATAAAAGGCAAAATAAATAAGAAAATGTGTACATAGGATTTATCACGTGAGTTATGTGTTTCGGCCAAAATAAATAATAAAAAAAAATGGAAAAATAAGCAATCCAATTCAATCAATGCTCTTTGCATCTTCTGTTAGACTGTTACCTCTCTCTCTCTCTCCTCTCTCTCTTTCTCTCTCATCTTGTTGGTGCTTCCTTCTCCTTCCCCATTCATCAATGGCGGAGGTTCCTCTGCTCACCAATAAGTAACTGCCCAATCTCCGCAACTGTACTCACCCAGAATGCTACACTTGTTCACAATTCAATTCGCACTCTGCAAAACCCCCCTTTTCCTGCCCTACTCCCGCAAAACCCGCCTGACTTCTTCCTGTTTTTCTCGATTTTGTTAATTGAGTTTTGGTGTTTGTGGTTTCATTATTTGAAGATTCGCTCGCATGGTTTCCGGATGCGCTCGCTCTCTTTTCTCTCCGGATTCGTCTCCATGTCTCTGCTCTGAGACTTTGCTCTCTCGCCATAGAAGTGTCTGCGGATTTCTCTGCGCCTGCTCCGCCTAGCGATTATACGAACTTTTGTTGTTGCTCCCGAAAAAGCTGGAGAATAGTGAAATGTTGGATCTGAATATTGGTGCAGACTCCTTCTCTTGCGGAGACGATGAAATTGATGTTAAGAAAACTATTTGCAGCGCCGTCGATGCTGATTCTGTAACTTCCACCACCACCACCAACGCGGAGGCCTTCCCCGCCGGTCTAACCGATGAGCTCGATTCCAACAGCGCCACTCGCACCCTTGAGTTCTCTATCCTCAACGAAAAAGTCGTCAAAATCGACGATGGAATGACTAACGGTACCATAAGCGACAGAAACCGCGAGCTTCAGCTTTTTCCGGCGGGTGCTTTGGCTTCAACTCCGGTGTCAGATAAGGCCAAGTACTGGCTAAATTTGTCGGTTCCTGAGGTTTCCGGCGGTAGAGGTGTGGAATTGAGGATTTTCGCTTCGCAATTGCCGCCTAAAAACCAGGTGCAGCCGCCGCCGCCGCCGCAGCAGGCAGCGAAGAAGAGTAGGCGCGGTCCCCGCTCCCGGAGCTCGCAGTATCGAGGAGTTACATTCTATCGCAGAACAGGAAGATGGGAGTCGCATATCTGGTTAGTTTCTGGCAATTCCACACATACATAGAATCAGTGTGCTCTGTTCATGTTGCATGCATGCGTGTGTGCGATTGAATGAAGAAAGGCTGGGCGTTTGTATGGATTAGAAATTCCGCCATTGACAAGACAGGGATGCTCTGTATGCTTCCTACAGTACTCGTACTTCTGCAGCAAATGTATATGCATATATATATATATGTGTATGTGTCCTTCTTTGGAATTGATTTTTATGGATTTTACATTCGATTTTGTGCAGACTTCCCTTATTAGATTATAGACTGGCATTGTTATTTACCATAGTGTACGGAAACTTGAGAATTGAATAGGCCAGATGGTTTCTAGTTGTACTACTGTGGTCCTTATGTATAATGAATTTAACAATCATCTCTCTGTGTTTTTGGTGCAGGGATTGTGGCAAACAAGTCTATTTGGGTACGAAATATGAGCAATTTTCTTGATTAGTTTAATGGGAGTGGGGTTTGCCTCTGCAATTCTGATTTTGCTGCTTAGTTGTGAGTCTGCTTGACAGTTTCTGTTGGGGTTTCTTGCAGGGGGATTTGACACAGCTCATGCTGCAGCTAGGTAAGACTATTTGGTTTCTGCTTGAGACAATTGGGATCTTGAAATTTGTATTCTTAGGAGTTTGTTTTGGTGAACTGTGTATGATGATCTCTTATATCCATCAGAGCGTATGATCGTGCTGCGGTCAAGTTTCGTGGAATTGATGCAGACATCAATTTCAATATCATTGACTATGAAGAAGACATGAAACAGGTTGTTAAATCCATACATAATGGTTCTGGCATCATTTTGTTGTAAATTTCAATGAGCTTCAATGAATGAATGAATGGGTGGTCTGCAGACGAAGAACTTGACGAAAGAAGAATTTGTTCAAGTTCTTCGTCGCGAAAACACAGGGTTCTTGCGTGGAAATTCAAAGTTTAGAGGCGTGACTCTGCAAAGATATGGACAGTGGGAAACAAGAACGGGCTATTTTGTTGGGCAAAAGTAAGAACACACTTCAAATCTTGAACTCATGGATCATATATGCCCTTTAGTATGAACAATTCAGTTGCTCCTGGTTGTCTCAAATTTATCTGCTTAGCCACTGTTACTCGTCAATTTCTAGGATGCTAGGTGTATTGGTGCATGAAATACCTGTGTGTATATATTTAAGATTGTATGGTGTATTGAATGTAGTTGTATCTCAGTTATTGGGCAACGAAAGCTCCAGCCTTATTAGAAAGTGTTGTACTAAAACCTTTCTTTGATCGGTAAAACTCTTGTAGTTCAAGTAGTGAGGTATCTCCCACTTTGGGGTTATGAACTTGGGGTTCGATCCCGGATGGGTGGTTGTGCATGTGTGTGGTGTAAAAAATTAAAAGTAAAAATTGCGTCCCCTGTTAAACAAGCCTCTATTTCCTTTCTGATTCAGGGACTATGGCAAAGCAACCACCGCGCATGATTCGGAACTAAGTGTCGCCTGCTTTGAGTCTCGTAATGAGAAGAAAGAGATAAATTTCACTCCTATAAATGGAGGTGGTATGTGAAGTTTTTTTCTTGCATTCATTATTGCCTTTTCTTTTTGTTTCTATCAATGTAACGATATAGCCTGACTTTGTTGCCATAGGTAAATTTGATCTCAATCTTGGCATATCTTTGTCTTCAAATGACCCACAATGGAATAGCCTGTCACCCAATGGAGATAAAGAAATGGTCAGCAGTTTCTATCTTTGCAATGCAATACTTTATTTGCTTCTGTGTTCAAGTGTTTCAATTCTTGAATACACTCCACATTTCAAGCCTTCGAGAGCTTTTCTTAGTTAACATTCAACTGATGTTTCCATTACGATTGATGTGCTGTTTAACCTAAAAAAATCAGCATACTATAAATTGTATAAGGTAGAACACAACCTGAAATTTGTATTGCATCAAACAGTGTTAGATGATGATGTTGTTATTTATCAAACTTACAAAATGATGATGGGAAAAGAGCTGAACCAACGTATATTTCATGCTATCGACGACATATAGACATTATCCAGTTTACAGAAAATGTAATTGAAAGGAAGATGCAAACCAACTTAGAAGGATTTTGTTGTTGATATGTGTTAGCTTAAAAATCCTCTAGTTTTCTCTGATGTTCCCGCCTGTATGCTCAGAATATGGTTATAGAAGATTGTATTGGTAAGTCTTTGAAACTAATGATCTGATGATGTTCTCTTACAAATTTTAAGGTTGAGACCTCCTCTGCTTCTGTCCACAAGCTTTTAGTGGCAGCCAAATATGCTCCAACGGATGGTAACATGTATTCTGGTTTCTCGCCGACTAGTAAGGTGCCCGTTTTCTCTATATTTGAAAACTTGAGACTGCCCCAATTATAGTTCTCATCGAAATTAGCATGGTGATGAGTTCTTGAAGTTAACTCTTTTGCACCAATTTGCTCATTTTTTGGAAAAAATGCATCTTAATTTTATTTGTGCACGGGCGCACAGAATTTCCATTTCTTACGTGAAGAACATAAGCTCCGAAGTGACGAGCATTTGTTTTGTAAATGACAGGAAAGAGCGAGTGGCGAAAACATTCCCCTTCTGTCACTGTCTTCTGCAGCATCATCAGGATTCTCATCAGCGGCTACAGTTCCATACTCGAAACTCCCTCAGCTCAACCATATCCGGAAAATCAACTGACATGGCCGAGCAAGCAGGTTCTTCTTATCTCTTTTGAAACTTTTGTCCCGCTATATGTAGGCTGGTACATACAGTACATGGCAGTAAAAATGCATATAAACCTTTGTGGGAATCCTATCCTCCTCCTGTCATGGAAAATCGTTTTGATCTTTCGCCATAAATAGAGCTCTCGATGACATGTATGCATGCATGAATCGGTAGAAGTTATTGATGGATAATGAAAATAAGGTGTAGACTATTGATGTCCAAGTGAAGAAGAAGAAGAAAGAGTTTATACAATGATCAAATACTTTTGTGAGTTTTAAGTTCGCTTACTCATCTTCGACTACAGAAATTATTTTTTCTTGGATATATGTAGGAATCGGGAAAGGAGACAAAAATAGAGGGTCGGACTATATAATAACCGAAAACCAGCGTCGCCAGGTACCGATCGATTAAGTCCCTTTTATATCATAATGGTGAGCGAGCTAAGACATAGATGAAGTTTTTATATCGTACTTAGTGATGCAATCGAATGTTAACTGAGCCGAAGCCTGGTTGAAAATGATCACTCAAAAAACAGGGGATATGATAGGACATGAATGCAGCAGTTGTGAAAGTGAAAGTGAAAGGATAGGTTTAGAATGTTATGGGGAAGGTGATAGATACAATATGGTGTATGTCTTCATCATGCTCATTCATTTGAGATTTCGTAATTGATATTAATACAAGAAATATGTTCATGTAGCACACCTATAAAGTATGAATTATTAATACAGATTTTATCTAACTCACCTATAATCTGTCTCCCTCTTATTTATTTATTTTATTAAATCTTTAGCCCTAGATTTATTCCACTTGACGCGTATACGAAACAAATGATTGTAATTTTAATAGATTAAGATGATACGGTGTCCCAAATTCGCTCTAAATCATACAACAGCAATATCTTAACACGCACATAAGCAATAAAGACAGCTTTCACGATCAAAGTGTAAATTTGGATTGGTTGTTTGTTGAACGATCAGACTGCGGATACACATACTGGTGACGACAAAAATATAAAGTACAAAATAATTGTTAACCCAGTTCAGGGGTTCCCACCCAGATGAGTTTCATTATCAAAGTAGTCGAAGCATGAAGTTCTATGATACAAACCACTCTATTTTTTGAAGATATCCCATCCCTAATCTATCTTTATCTCAACCAACTCAATGAACTAGTGTCTCTCCCTTTTTACCCAAGAGCTTTTCACCCAAGAGCCTACGAACTATCTCATTTTTTTTTAGAGGAATTACGTTCAGATTTTTCTATGCTCCACAAATCTATTTTGTTTCACTCTATATTCTCTATTAAAGCTCTATCTCCAAACATGATAATATTCACTTTAACAAACTCAATAAGAATGAAATCTTTTCCTCAATTATTTTTTCTTATCTTCACAAAGTTTGTTACAACTATTTTTTGTTATTTCTTCTCGATCAATTCGTTCGGGTCTTCGTTGGATTGATCATTTTGGGTTATTTCCTTATTTGATTGGACTCGAAACAATTTAGGTCGCGTCTGTCCATCACTGTTGGTAAACAATTTAGGTCGCGTCTGTCCATCACTGTTGGTCTATTGACCGAACATTTGTAAACAACATCAATTAAAATTCAAAAACAAATACAATCCACTTTCAACATGATACAACAACAATAATAATAATAATAATAATAATAATAATAAACTTCATCTTGAATGTATAGCGGAAACTTAATCCATATTAATAAAATTGCATGACGTATCTCAGAGTATGTAGGCACTCCACCTGAAATCGAACGCCGAGGATGTCTCATTATTTGATCTTCAAAGGCTTAATTCAACATATAAGCAACTTGATGTAAAGACACTGATTCATGAGATGTAGCCTCTATTTATATATCATCTTTTACTTTCTATTTTAGTGTGTTTTTCTAAAATATGCTACGTCCGCCTAAAGGTCCATTTACTTTTTATGGTGTTGATATTTGAATATTAATTATTATATCAAAATATTCTACAAATTTAAAAAAAATTTGCAAAAATACTGTCTTATAACACTAATAAAAAGACATTTGTAAATTTTTTTTTATACAAATATAAAGATATTTTTAATGTTAAGTACAATGACACAAAGGTAAATGTGACCAATAATATAAAAAATATACAAATATAAAGATTCACTTGTCATACATAATTCGCCTAGTATAACTTGCTTTGTCGCGTATAGTTTGCAGGATATTAGGTTCGACCGGAAGTTTACCCGGTGCACACTTTCGGATAACGGCGGTGAGTTCCCTAGTCATAATAAAAAAAAGAAAAAAAACATGTAACAAACGCAAGATCTAGATCAAAGATAATGTAGCATCTGTTAATTTCGACGTGTCGATGAAATTATAGATAAAAGTTTAATAATATTTAAGGGTATGTCTGATTACAAATTGGAACACAAATTGCCCTATGCTTTCAACTTTTTTCATAACTTATAACAAAATAATCACATTAATTAACATTATAATTTAACTTTCAATCATACATCCTAATGTACAATCAAACACACCTTTAATATTGCAGGATATTAGTTTCGATCGGGATTTACCAGTGCACACTTTCGGGTAGCGGCTGCGAATTTCTACGTCATAAAAAAAAAAAGAAAAAGAAAAACACCCTTAATACTATGTTGCTAAATATGAGATAGAACTTTTTAAGAAGAATCTTATTAGTTTATGATCTTGAATACTATATATGTTTTTGGTTTGCTTTTTGTATTTTATATTTAAATAAAAAAAACAAATCTTAAAAAAATAAAATAAAATAATACAATCCATATGTTGGAAAAATGAGTCAACTTTCATTTTTATTAGGCTTATGCCAACTTGTATAGGGTTTTATAACTCTTGTGCTATCATTCATTCATTTACTAGTTGACTAAGTAATTTACTATCTTCTATTTATTTTTTAGTTAACAAATTTATTGGTACTTAGTTTTATGTCAATATATATTAACTATTTAGATATTTTAATACTTCCTCAATTCACAAATATTATGCTTGATTTATTGGCCATAAAAATTAAAAAATAATAATATTTTAATATAAAAATAGAATTGATAAAAAATAAAATAAAAATATTATAAAAAATTATTAAATGATTGATTAAAATATTGATGGAATAAATAAAAAATAATTATTATTTATTAAAATATGAATAATAAAATTATCGGTGGACAAAATTATTTCTTATAAATAAATATTAATAAATTTAACGACCAATTAAAAAGGAAATAGTGACATGTACTGTGAATGTGTATTTATCTAAAACTAAGGATTGGTTATTGTTGTGGACTTGTTTTAAAATTATAAAAAGAACAGTATCTATATGCATATTGTTTCAAAATTGATAAAATGTTGGTGCAATCATTTTGATCATAAGCTCAATGATGATATCTTATATTTCATATTCTTTATTATTTTATTGTTTATTTTTATTCGTTTTGGAATATGTCTATACATAGGTTTTGACTTTATGATTCACAATATCAATTTTATTTTTCTCTAAAAAATTATTTTAATATGGTATTAAAGTGTATTTTTTTTTTCTGAAATAGATACAATTTAAAAACCCACGCTTCTTCGAGTATATTTACCTAAAATATACCCGGAGGTCTCTAAATAATTAGTCGTCCGTCAAGTTTATTTTTCAATTTTGCATTCGAGTTTGACATTTGATCGTTTGTCATAGTTTAGTACAAAATGATGCTTCTGATTGCGTTGAGAGTCTCGTTGCTTCTGATTACGGTGAGAGTCCCGTTATTTTCGACTTCGATAAGAGTTCTGTTGTTCCGACTCCAGTGAGGGTTCCATTTCCGACTTCGTTGAGAGTCCGGTTTCGACTATAATTCAGTTGAAGACACTACTTCTGATTCTCACTTGATGGACGATTGTGATTGCGTCATATTCAATCTCTCTTTGCAAACTCAAGTTGTTTCACGATACCATTTGAGTTTGAGAGGATGTTGAAATATTTTAATTATTAAGTTTTAGGTTAGATTTAATTGTTTTAGATTTGGTTTTATCTATTAGGTTAGTTGGTTATTATTTGACCCTATCGAGTATGTTTCATAGTACCTATATGTAGGTCCCAATTTTGATTGTGAATAATAATGCAATTTTTGAATTTCCGTGAACTTATATCACATGATATCAAAGTCCTAAATTAGGTATTCCTTTTTCCTACTACGCTGCCGTCCTGTTTTACCGCCATTCGCCGGTCACCGGTCGACACCACTGCCACCATCGTCTCCGTCTCGAAGAGATCAGCCCGCCCCAAAAGTTTCGCCTCCATTGGCGGCGCGTAGCGGCACCATATTCCGGTGGTGCAAATCCGGTGTCTGGCCACCTTTTCTGCTGCCGTCTTTCAGCAGCGCGTGGCGGCGCATCCGGTGGTTTCCGGCCGCCGCCTCATGCTTTGATTTTCGACGTCACAGTATTGTCGGTTTTGTTACCTGATTTGATTTTATCTTGCATATGTTATTGGAATGAATTCTTCAGTCAAGAATATCGCGACTCTTTCGCATCAAGTTCTTGCTTCCAATTCATCTCATGTCATGGCCAACTCAGGTAGTCCTAAGCGGTATTTTGATTCTGGTTGCTGCAATCATATGACACTTACACTTGGTCTCTTGATCGATGCGTATCCTATGTCATCTTCATTGCATATACATTGTTAATGGGAGTCACATAGATATCACTCATTCAAGATATGTATCTCTACAATTTATATATCTTCCTGATACCTACTGCATTCTCTATTTGACTTTAAATTTTGTATCAGTTGGTTGATTAGTTGACCAGAGACTTACTGTTACTTTCTCCTGTTCTGGTGTGTAGGTTCATGATCAATGTACAGGTCAAATTCTTGGGATAGGTCGAAAAGTGGGTCAACTATTTGAGGTACAATATTTGAAAATTCCTCCCGACAATTTTTCTGTTGCTGCTACTCATACCCCTCTACCATTATGTCCCCTAGTCTTCAGTAGCACATTGGTCTTGGTCATACATTTTCCTCTAAGATTTTTGGAGATTTAAAAATATCTTTTAAGATACAAAAAAAAGATTTATGTATAAAATGAAAATAGTATCGTGCATGTTCGTGTAGTAACTCCAAAAACTTCGTCAAAAATAAATAATCTCTTTAACCGGTGAGTGTCCGGGTCGAACTCAGGGAATATGTGAATATCCTATATTTAATTAGAAAAAAAGTGCAATGAGTTAATGCAATCGAAGAAACTGAAAAGATAAACTGCAGAAATTAAATCGAACTAAAAAACGATAAAATATACGTATCTCGAAAAGGATGAAGCAAGGCGTTTGTGTCTGACTTTTGCGTTCTTTAATGGCTAGATTTTCATGGATAAAATGAGCGGGATGACGATGGCGTGATAGCGAAAAATATATGTATAATTGCGGGGCGGCTTGGAGGAATGAACGTGATCGCATTTGCTCGCTTGACCTTAGGGGATTTACAATGAGGCTTCAACGACATTCGGCGAAGAACATTATAAGCAAAAAACTCTACTGTCACTAGAAATTTTTGTGACCCAATAGACCACCGCCTCTGGCCCATGAATTATTCTTCCAACCGTTCCACTAGTGGCTCTACCCCTCTGATACCTCTCTTTAATCGGAATTGAATTCAGAACAGCAACTAAGCAGATCGACAAGGCTTCCGCGTACTTAGCTACGTTGAACTACCCGGAATCTGTTTGTGACACGAAACAGGGCTGAAAT